GTGTGTGTGTGTGTGTGTGTGTGTGTGTGTGTGTGTGTGTGTGTGTGTTTTCACATGTGGGGGTTGTCACTAGAATCCTAGTGCCCCGTGCATGTTTCAGGAGTCAGCATCATCTATGGTGGGGACCATAGACCCAGTTGAGCCAGAAACTGAAAGCCTGGGGCCTGTGCAGCTGCCCTCCGCTGAGAAACTTCTCAGAGGAGACAGAAGACACTGCTGGATGCCCTGTCTCTCCAGGAGGAGCAGCTGAACATGACCTCCCACTGCTCTGCTTCCTACACTCTGCTTGGCTTGGGCCCCATGCTGACATCTGTGTTATCTGTAAGCAAAGAGCTGCTTGTCCATAACAAGGTGGCACACTGCGTACATTGGGCAGTGGTATGCAGGACACTGACCAAGGTTCAGGCCCTGTCCTGAGTCTGAAGGACTTAGCAGGAAATGAGGCATGCCCTGTGGTCATACTCTAGGTTTCCCAGTCTCGGGGTGGACGCTCAAGTGAACAGTGTTCATAGACTGAGATGCATGCTTGACAGAAAACATGTGAAACGGCATGACAGACAGAGCCCTCTGGACAGACAGAGCACTCTGGACCGGTGTCAGTTGATGAGAGACCTCAAGGAAGAACAGCCAAAGGGAACCACACAAAGGCCCTGTGGCATAAGAGAGGAAAGTACCATGCCTCGGAACACTAGCACACTCCTTCCCAGATGTTCAAGGAGCACTCAGGCTGGACACAGCCACCAGCATCTTGGGGACACCTTATCTCCAAAGCCCCAGGACTCACCATGCTCTCTTCTCTCACACACCACACTGACCCCTCAGCTAACTCTGCGGGCGCCAGCACCCCAAGTTCACCAGCATGTGGTCATCTCCATCTCTGCACCTGATGCAAGCTCCCCACTCACACCTAGATTGCCCCAGTCTCGTGACAAATGGCTGACTTCCTAGAAGGACTCGGGCTCCTTGTGATCAGGATGCTCTGCTGGGGATGGCCCAGGACTCTGATTTTGAGGATAGACTTCCAGATCTGCTATTCACCCAGCGGCAGGGACAGGCCAGCTTTGCCTCTTGACACCTCAGTTTCCTGAGTTGTCATCATGGCTAACGATGGTGACAACCTGAGGGCAAGAATACTATAAACCCCTCACCCAGGCCTCACCAGGCCCCTCCCAAGTCACCAGCTGCTCTGCCACCCATCCCTACAGGGATCTGGTCCAGGGCTGAGGTTTGGAAGCTACCTTTCCTCCCTTCCGCTGTGGTACTCAGAGGACATCTCCTGCATGTCCCTGGACCCCAGCCACTCACAGTACGTTCTCAGTGCAGGGCCTTGGTCCACAAGACCCAGCCTTTCCTCCTCGGGACTAAACTACCTCAGCACTCAGAATTGGGAGGTCACCTAAAACCGAGGGCTGAAGCAGGAGGCCCCCTCCTTGGCCGGCACCATCAGGGTGCGTGGCTCATCTCTGCTAATCACGAGGTGACACAATCAGGGTTTAAAAATACTGCATGCATTTAACTCAGTGCAAGAGAAAGAGAACACACAGTCTGTGTGAGCAACTCAAATCAAAAATAAATGAGGCAAAGAGTCTCCAAAAATAGTGCAGCATCAAAGTCGTCGCACGGCCAGCTGTCCTCAGCTCGGAGCCTCTGCCGACGAGCAGTGTCGCAGAGGGAAGCTGGGAAGATGGCTCCACGGCGTTCACTCCTCCGGAGGAGACTAGGCAGGGCCGCAGTCCTTTTGTTAGACTAGAATTGATAGCAAAGTGAAAACAGCATGGAGACGGGCACCCTCATGCTGTCCTCATCCCATGACCCAGCTGAGCCCAGAGACGTAGACAGCAGCGCACGGGGTTATCTGGCCAGGACCCTTCCTCTTTGACCTTGAGGGGTTCCTTTTCCAGACTCAGAGTGTCTCCCATAGAAGAACTGGGCAGCCCCCAGCTACACAGTGGTCAGAGCGGCGTGCACACTGAACATAACTGGGGTCTACACATCTGCCTTAATTTCATCATAGTGGGTGTTACCTAGTGTCTGGAGGGATTGTTGGGTTGGATTTTGTTCTCTGTGTTTTTAAGACAGAGTTTCACTATGTAGCCCTAGCTGGCCTCAAACTCACTATGTAGACTAGGCTGGCCTTGAACTCACAGAGCTCTACCTGTCTCTGTGTTCTGAGTGCTGGGATTAAAGCTGTACCACCACACCCAGCCTGGGAGATAAAGACAGGCAGACATTGCAGTCAGCAGATTACAGCCCAATCTAGCCCACCACTTGTTTTTGTAAATAAAGTTTTATTGGTGCATAGCCACATCTTTTCCTTTACCTACAGTCTCTGGTTGCTTTTGTGCCCCAGAAACTGACAAGCAGCATGTCCTTAAATTGTTGGAGTTCTGCCCTGTACTGCAGGGGTTTCCACTCTTCTTGCCAGAGATGGGAATCTAATTCATTGGGGGGAGGGGGATACAAGTACACACGTGTGATTGTGCATGTAGAGACCAGAAGCCAGTATCAAGTGTATTCCTTAATTTCAAATATATATTTGAAACAGTTTCTTACTGAACATGGAACCATACCCAAATTTTATGTGGATGCTGGGGATCCAAATTCAAGTCCTCATGCTTTTGTGGCAAGCAGTTTACTGAGCCACCCTCTCCAGCCCCAGAGATGCTTTGCTCATATGCTCAGGACCCTAGGGAAGGTCCCATGTGCCAATGAGGACGAAGGTTGTGTTTGTTGGTGTTGAGTGTGGTGTTTATTATGCCATGGTGTTTATTATGTGATGTTTGTTATGTTGTTTGAATCTAGATGGTCTTATAATAAAAAAACCCAGAGCCAGATATCAGTAAAAGCTGAAAGATCAGAAAAGCAGAGCAGCTAGCGACTAGTTCTTTCCTCTACGACATCCTCAGCCTAAAGAGAGTGAGTTCCTGTTTCCTCACAACTTATATACCTTTCTCTGCCCAGACATCATTTCCTGGGATTAAAGGTGTGTGTGCTTCCCAGTACTGGAATTAAAGGTGTGTGCCATCACTGCCCGGCTCTGTTTCCAGTACGGCCTTGAACTCATAAAGATCCAGACAGATCTCTGTTCTTGAGTAATAGGATTAAAGGTGTGTGCCACCACTGCCTGACCTCTGTGTCTAATTTAGTGGCTGGCTCTGTCCTCTGATCCTCAGGCAAGCTTTATTGGGGTACACAATATATTAGCACAGTGTTAGTTCTGGGCTTTAGAGGCGTCTGCAGTAATTAGGTTTCTCTGATGCAAAGAGCATCTTTGTGCGGGACAGTCACATGATCAGCTTCAGCTATCATCATACTGAGAAACATGTACTCTGACGCCAGCACTCATCTGTCACCTATGCACAGCTTCGACTGCTGGAACAAAGAGGACCTCCCACTGATGCCCAGGATCCCAGCAGAGTCCCCTAGATCCTCATACCCACCTCCCCACTCGGTTCTTCTAACAGCTGAGAGTGAAGAGTAAGTTGGATGGTACAGAATAAGGCTGAATGGGCCTGGAAGGAACCTCACTTCTGGGGACCCTTTCCCTGCAATGTGCTGATATCCTGTCAACTGGTAGATTCTTTGCATTGCGATAGAAATGTCAAACCTTGGACAATGGCAATATTCCCATTGTCCTCTTGGGCGACAGGGCCATGAAGAAAGAGGATCCTTCCAAGCCACCATAGCAGAAGCCAGCCCAGAATCATATGGACCTTCTGTGGATTCCTTCACTCCAGAGTGTGGTTTTGGGTGGGGACAGGCTACATGCCGCCTGTCACGCCACCGCCAAAAAGGGTTCGCTTTCAGTACCGGATATTAAAGTGGATTAGCAAATCAAATCCCCCAGGAGAAGAGGAAGACACAGCGGAGCACCCAGAATGGCCGGAGAGCCGGCAGACACTGAAGACTCAGCCGAGTGCACAGGAGCAAGAGAACCCAGTGACCAAGAGTGCCTGGAGACAGGGCAGAGACGCATCTGTGTGCCATCTGCCCTCAGTGACCACAGACAGGTCCAGGTGTTAGATCCCAGAAACCAGGACGGTATGTGGGGCCAGAGGCCTGAGATAATGAGGGATGGAGATGTGTGAAGCAGGTCAGGAGCATGGTGTCTGCAGGGGAGGCCCAGCCCTTCGTGTGTGTGTCTGTCTGTCTGTCTGTCCCTTGGTCTGTCTCTCTTTGTGTCTGTCTCTTGTCTCCCTGTCTGCCTCTCTGCCTCTACTTCTCTTTCAATCTGTCTGTCTGTCTGTCTGTCTGTCTGTCTCTCTCTCTCTCTCTCTCTCTCTGTGTGTGTGGGGGGGGGGATGAATATATATGCGAGGGTATGCATGCATTGCAGGCATGTGACATGACACACGCCTCTTACCTGGGCACTGGGGGCCCAAATTCAGGTCTTCATGCTTACGCAGCAAACTTTTTATTGACTGAGCTATGTCCTAGTCCCTGCCTTTCTAGAAAGCTGTGTTCTGACCTCTGGACCAGAGATCTGCAGATTGTTTTCTGTAACTAGCAGATTGTAAAACTCCTTAGACTTGCCGGCAGCGTGGTCTCCAGGGCTGCAGATTTTCAACTTAACAGGGCATGCTGTGGACAGAGTGTTAGGTATACCAGACGGGCTGATGGTAGGGTTTTCGAGATGTGGTTCATCGGTTCAAGATCGTCAGATCGCTCTGCCATTGTGTAAAGTCGTCGACAACAGAAACAGGTGCACAGGCTGAATGTTTTTGTCCCCTCTAAGCCATGCATTGATGCTCTACCTCCAATGTTAAGGAGCAAGGTCTTGGGGGAGACCAGAATAAACAGGGCCCTGGGAAATTGAGCCCCTTGAGGAAGTCCCTGTCTTTACAAGAAGAGGCCTCCACAGCTTGCCCTGCCTCATGATGACCCAGCACAAAGGAGGTCAGGAAACTGTCTCTGAGCCGAGAAGAGTCCTCGCTGGAGGCCTGAGTCTGCCAGCACCTTGATCTTGGCCTTGTAGCCTCCAGACCTATGAGAAGGGAATGGCGTTGTATAAGACTCGTCCCTGGTATTTTGTTATAACAGACCAAGCTGAGACAAGCGAGTGTGGCTGTTACCAAAATTTCACTTACAGACACACATTTGAATTTTATATAATTCTGTGAGTCATGGAAGATGCCCTCTCTCTAGATTTTCTACCAGCCATTTAGAAATGTCAAAGTCAGGTGCCTGTTTTGTTCTGGCCCTCGGTCAGCAGCAGTTTGCCAACCCCACCCAGGAACGAAGACACAGGCCACCTCCTTTCACTGGCCAGATACGTAGTACTACCCTGCGCTCTGGGTGTTGATGTTCCAAAACACAACCAAATGTTGGTGGGGCAAGTGCCGGGTTCACCAGCTGGACGCCTGCTCCGCATTCAGCAGCAAGTACGCCTGGGTGTTGGCCTGCCTTTCAGGTTTGGGAAAGCTTCAGTGTATCAGCCCCCACAAAGCATGTTACACAGCATCCGTCCAAAAGAAGTGGATTAGCCTATGGCAGACATTTGTGGGGGATCAGAAGCCCACAGCTTACTCTCGAGAACAGGATGGGAAGAGCAATGCCATATGGCCTCAGATGCAGGAAAGAAATGTCACGTAGCAGAGGGACCCAATTTGTCATTTGTCTCCAGGGACACGAGCAGGCCTGACAGGTCTAGGCGTAGAGAAGCCCATTTGAAATGGACACACAGAAGGACCTCTGTCATCATTTCTGTGGTGCGGTGGAGTAGTCTGAGTAGGGTCTTGTGGGACAGGAGATGTTGATACTCACCAGTGTGGGGACCGTGCTTAGGAAACTGCATCCCCAGATCTCTGTGCTGGACCCCAGCACCTCAAGCTTGGGGAGTCATGTCACAGGAGCCTGGTTCTCTTGGACATTTTCAGATGTTCACCCTCACTGTGCTGGCCTAGAGGAATGTAAGTTACATCAAATCAGGTTCATCTGCTATTTCTCCTAAAAGAGAGAGAGAGAGAGAGAGAGAGAGAGAGAGAGAGAGAGAGAGAGAGAGAGAGA